CAGGTACCTCAATAACTACTGGATCCATGGGCATGTAATTATAGTGGTGCGCATAAGGGAGTATGATGTTGGCGGATTCAGAGTACTGGCTTGAAAATGAATCATTAATAGCTGATGCGCACATGTTACCGGGGATATTATTTCCAGATGAATCTTCTAGTGATATAGTGTTGTTAGTGGTTGGGTTGATCATTTGCCAAAACTTTCTAGGGTTATTTTTCAGAGTTTCAGGTAGTGTTCTAGTTAGGTAGTTGTTTTTTGCAGTTTTTAGAGCTCTTAAGTAGGCGTTTGCAGCGATTTGTAAATTGTCCAGCGCGAAGATGAAGGCGAGCTTTTAGCTAAACGAAAGAAACGCTTTTTCCGATTAGATAGGCGTTTTAGATGACTGGAATACCACGGCGCTTGGGGATTGGAAATGAGTGTGCGATTAGGGATGTACTTCTCTATCAATTTATGGACTGTGCATGCGAACAGATCCCAGTTAGATTGAACGGAACGAGATTCAAATTCTCTAACAAAGCCATCGTAAAAGTGAGTTAGCTCATTATTTATTGCTTCGAAGTTAGCTTTCCGGTAGTGTCGTATGCGTTTCTGCTGTTTAGTCTTTTTACTAGGGCTAATATTGATGACAAAGTTTAGCGAGATGTGGTCGCCGATTCCTGGTAAGTATGTAATGTCGGAGACAAGGTCAGGATGCGTTGCCAGTATTAGGTCGAGAGTGCTTGCTGTATTACTTGTAATTCTTGTGGCTTGAGTTACTAACTGATTCAAGCAATAAACAGAGCATGTATTCAGAAAATCTTCACTCTGCTGGGAAAAGGGGGAAATACGTATCGGCACTGTGTTCCACGTTATGTTGGGAAAGTTAAAATCTCCGAGTAAAAACATAGGTAAAGAAGGGAAACTAGAGCTTACTATGTTGATGGAGTCATGCAGTTCATTAACAAATGTGGATGGTGAGGAAGGTGATCTGTAGCAGGTACCTAGAACCAGTTTACAGCTACCCAAAGATAGTAAAGCCCAGGTTATTTCTAGTAAACTATTAACTTGAATTGGTGATGATGGTATGTCCTTCGAGACCGCAAGTAGTATGCCTCCTCCTCTGTGCTCCGTGCGGTCGCAGCGATATACCATAAAGTTGTTTGCCTCGTGATATATTTCTGAGTCTGTTGTTTGTGCGGAAAGCCACGTTTCAGTTAAAGCTACTATTTTCGCATCGCATGTATCTATAATGGATGAGAGGGCACAAAGTTTATTGAGAACACTTCTGGCGTTAGCAAAGAATACAGATACCGGATGCGATTTACAATGCGATGATATGCCACCACCCCTCCTTTCTCCCTATTGTGAGGCATTTCATGCAGTGGAGTATCCGCGACCTGATTGGTTGCCACGCGATCGTATTTCTTCAACGCGATCAAGTTCAAAGTTGTAGTAGAAACGTTTATTATTCATGAGCAATTTGTTGTAGCGCAGTTTAGACTGTGGGCGCCCAGGATAGCTCTTTGCAAAACAATTAGTTTTTGGCAAGAAGTGCGGGTACATTGACAAAAATCTTCCGTCACTGAAATGTTCTTTTGTTTCAGCTGGTTACGAAGTGGCAAAACTTTTTCTCTGGTCTTGTAGTTGGAAAATTTGGCTATTATGGGGCGGCATTTGGCAGGTGCAAACAGGCCAAGTCGGTGTGCGCGATCAATTGACTCTGTGCAGAAAGATTCAAGTACTTCATTTATCGCTGCTGATAGCTTAGCTTCAGTTTCGTTCCAGATTTCTTTAGCGTCAGCTATACCATGAAAGATTAGGTTGTCACGCCTAGATCTGTCCTCAATCTCATCAAAGCGTGTTTGATAGTTATTACTTCGGTGCGTTAGACCAGGTATCGACGCATGTATTTCTGATAAATCTTTGCCAAGTTGATCAAGGTCCTTCGATTTTTCCTCGAGTTGGTCTAGTCTTTTTTGTATGCCGGTTATTTTTGTTTCTGTTTTTTTGCCCGTTTTTAATTGCTTTAACGTCAGCAGCTAGTTCGGTTTGCACTTTCGAACTTTGGAGTGAACGGCTGTGTATATCTTTGAGTAGTTTAAACATCCCTTTCATATGCTCGGCGGGATTTTCTGGTAACGAATCAATATCAAGTAGGTTTTCAGAACGCGTGTTAGGTCCCGGGTTAGTTTCAACATCTCCAGATCGTAGGAGCGAAAAAATCATGGAAAAACAGTCGCATACAACTTTGTACAGCACTTTTGGGCACGGAAACAGTAGCAAGAACGGGTCGTCCGATTTTTCAGCGTATAGAGAAAACCTTGTACACACTTGCATGATGAAAAACCGGTGGTTAGAAGCCATGCAAAGCGCACTGTTTCCGTGCCCACTGAAAGGCAAATCGATGCGCCGTGTGCTTAAATAGACCACGGGAGGTGTTGGCGACGTCGATGCGGCTGGGAACCCGAAGTAGAGTCCATCTGTCGCAGTGAAATTGTAGAAAAGTTCATCGCCAACCCTGTTGTCCGGTCCGTACGAGGGTGGCAACTTCATCACTATCTCCCACGAACACACGTGTGCCGCCGCCGACCACGCTATCAGGAGCGTCAGCAGATTCTGCATGATGAAAAACCGGTGGTTAGAAGCCATGTAAAACGCACTGTTTCCGTGCCCACTGAAAGGCAAATCGATGCGCCGTGTGCTTAAATAGACCATGGGAGGTGTTGGCGATGTCGATGCGGCTGGGAACCCGAAGTAGAGTCCATCTGTCGCAGTGAAATTGTAGAAAATTTCATCGCCAACCCTGTTGTCCGGTCCGTACGAGGGTGGCAACTTCATCACTATCTCCCACGAACACACGTGTGCCCCTGACGACCACGCTATCAGGAGCGTAAGCAGATTCTGCATGATGAAAAACCGGTGGTTAGAAGCCATGCAAAGCGCACTGTTCCCGTGCCCACTCAGAACTATGTAAATTCCAGAAACAGATGGTGACACAACTTTCTCTCTCTCTCTCTCTCTCTATCTCTCTCTCACACACACACACACACACACACACACACACACACACACACACACACACACACACACACACACACACACACACACACACACACACACACACACAAGTAGCACAAGTGATTTATGAAATTGGTGATATTAGCCTTATCGTAGCCACATCAGAGCTTAAAAGTCTACCTCATTGGAAGAGGCCCCTGAAGGAGAGCACGCACACACACACATGCACACAACAGTGTAGTAAACTGTCTCTCAAGTTAAATTAAACAGGTGCTTATAAATTTTATACAAACAACAATGTAGTAAAAGCTCATTCTATTCAAACTTGGAGCCCGTTTTCATCAATTCCCTTAGAAGTCTGTCTGCAGTGATCAAAATCAGTTTCAAAACCAAAGCAAATTTACTAGAGATGCAAATCACCAAAACTACAACCTTTCTTGGCAGATGACAATTTGGACACTGTACTAGAGCTCTTGGGAAAGCTGCAATCGATGCTCATGGGGTCATGACAGAATAAGCACAAGCAAATGCAAATTACTGATTACTTTTAATTTTTATTGCAGTCACTCTAGAATGTAAATGAAAGTGTTTTGGAGCATAAGTACAGTCATATATTTTCACATAAAAGCTAATACTGCTGATATGAATGCATGTCAGCAGTATGAGGGGTTGAACGGTTGACCTACCGCAGTTGAACCCACCGCAGTGGTCTTGTGGGTAAGGCACTTGGCTGCTAACCAGCAGGTTGCGAGATTGAATCCAGGCCGCGGCGGCTGCAATTTTCATGGAGGCAAAAATGCTTGATGCCCGTGTACTTTGATTTAAATGCATGTTAAAGAACCTCAGGTGGTCGAAATTTCTGGAGCCTTTCACTATGGCACCTCTGATAATCATATCATGGTTTTGGGATGTTAAACCCCAACAATTATTATTAATTTGCAATAATGAGCCCAGAGGTGGCTTCTATGGGTTCGTGTCTGTGTACTGGGGTGCAATGTCGATTCTAGCGCATACTTGCTTATTTATTTGAACTCTGCTTAATTCGGACAATTATGTAGTGCCCTTATTGCTAATTCTATGTCCGAGCACACTTGGTCGAGAAAAAGTTTGCTGAATCGAAAAATCTGAATGAGTCCACTTTAGAAAATTTTGGTGAGTCCGAGCCCTGTTGACAAAAAAATTTTGTTGTGTCAGAGTACGCCTTAGTTATATTCCTGTGAGTCTGACTGAGTAATATTTCCATGAGTCTGAGTGAGTCTGGCTAAGTTATATATCACGATTATGAGTCAGCATGAGTCCGCTCGAGAAAAATTTTGGCAAGTTCAGAGAGTGAGGCTGGCAAAAATACGAATCAGAGTCCAAGTGAGTCCTAAGGAAAAAATATATTAATTCAGCGAGTCCAAGTCAGCTCGACTTATTTAGCCAATCTATGGTGTCTCGCCATTTCATGTGTGTGTATATAGCAAAAAAACAGTTGCAAGTTTGTGCACATCTGCCTTCTCGTTTTGTACTTCTATCTCAATTTCGTGCAGAGAAAGAACGATGTTATACCAACAAGCCCGCATCAAATCCCAATTGAGGAGTTTAGGAAGAGGAGTTTAGCAAAACCAACAGTTAAGCCACAGGAATGAAGCCCTGAATGTGATGCGACGTAATGCTCCAGCGATAAGCAAACTCTGCAACGAGAGCTCTCAAGGTAGTCGTAGTGGTACACATTACTTGCCCCTCCTCGAGTCAAAATATGTGCAATGTTTTATTTATACAGACAGACCACCATGGTAATTTGCCTGGCATGTCCATAAATTTGCAATAAAGAAAAAATGAATACATATGTACACAATTTTATTAATACCAAGGCATTGTGCATATGACAATAATGCGATCAAGGACTGCAAGTCTGCAAAATGCAATAGAAGGCAGAATGAAATAAAAACTTGTGGTTTCCAGCCTGGGCTTTGCTATAAACTATTTTATATAAAGTTCTGGTAAGGTACACTTACTTTCTGCATTTCTTCCGGTGCTGCCTCTCAACTCCTTCTGACCTGAAATGAAGGAAAGGTTCAGTTGTCTTTTTTATCACACCTGAGTGACAAATTCTCCCTTTATACAATAAAGAAAAAGAAATATATGTGCCACTTAAGAAAAAAAAAATGAGGGAAGACAAGAAAAATTTTTTCTCAGAATGAATAGGCGCAGCTTCCACACCTATAGGACGATTCATGGTGCAGACAATGCATCGGAGCTTTCCCACTGTGTTTATGGTCCCAGATGCCAACCTGAATGCAACATTCAGTTTGTAAAAGTAAAGTTGACCCTCCTCTCGGCTTCCAATTAAAAAAAAAAGGAAACAGGCTTCATTATGAACAACTGCTGAGCTATCTTGCTTAAACAGTAAAGCTTCTCTTTTCGCTGGCTCACTTTCCCTAAAGGTAGCCCCCTCCCTCACAGAGAAACAGCAATTTCACCATCAGGAATGATGATGATTAGTGGAGTTGATTATGTGTGGTGTTTTATGGTGCAAGGGCCAATTGATGGCCAAAGAGTGCCATTTCAGGAGACAAGAGATGTGAACAAAAATATGGTGTGGGGCAGTATAGGGACCATAAAATTTCACGCACTAACGCATGTAAAAACATGGAGATAATAATGTTATAATAGTGACGTGAAATATGTGCAGTGATAGTGAATGGTGAAAGGTCGTGATAGTCAAACAATGGTGGAGAAGTATGCACTCCAGCAGCAACTTCTCTTCAAAGGTTGTGCTATGGGGCTCCTGCATATATGGCAATAAAAGTACGCACGTCTGTTAAAAATGCCAACAATGATTTCTGTGTGAAAAGTGGTTTTTTACCGATGAGCAGTGATGAATGAAATGGTATCTGTTGTTGGTAGGGCAATAAAACATGCTTTTTTCTGACAGCACCTAAATCACCGCACTGAACGAGAATGCGGAGAACTACAGTTTGTCAATATTAGCGGGTCATATTAAGCCTTCAGGCGGTTCACGTTGACAATGTTGCGCCTATGATAGCGCATGTCCGAAGATTGTTCAATGGGTTCGATGAGATAATTGACCGGAGATGTGTGCTTGATGACATGGTAGGGGCCTTCGTATTTCGAGAGTAGTTTGGAAGAAAGGCCAGCTACAGAGGTCGGGATCGAGAACCATACGAGCGCACTAGGAAAGAACATGGGCTCAGAAGTGGCAGAGCCATCACGAATACTCTTCTGCCGTTTTTGCTCATGTGTCGTAAAGTCTTGGCAAGCTCACGACACTCTTCAGCAAGCCTGGCTGTCTCAGAAATAAGTGTACACTTATATGAATCCGGCGTGCACGGGAGTATCATGTCGATGGTGTGCGACGGGCGCCTTCTGTACAGCAAGAAGAAAGCTGAAAAAGTGATTGTGCTCTTAGGGGCAGTGTTGTAGGCGTAGGTGATGAAATTCGTGTGGTCAGCAACGACGTACATTGAAAACATGTTGCCGAGGGTGCGGTTAAAGCGTTTCGTGAGGCCATTCGTCTGCGGGTGGTAAGCAGTAGTTTTGCGGTGGACAAAATGGAACTTCGTGAGAATGGCTTCGACATAATTCCGACAAAAGGACACGGCCTCAATCACTGAGAAGCTCCTGGGGTGGACCGTGGCGCAGTATGAATTGATGCAGCAGGAAGGATGCAACATCGCATGCAATAGCCACAGAGTGAGCAGCAGCTTCGGTGTATCACATTAAATGATCTACGGCGACAATGGCCCAGCGGTACCAGCCGACGTCAGAGGAAGTAGTCCATACAAAGCGGTTAATACAAATCGTTGAACTTTGATTTCAAGGGCGCGGTTGCGATCGCTTACACAAGTGCTATCTCAGCAAGCAACAGTGCACTTTCAACACGAAGAGACTGTGCGAAAAAAAACTTCTTCCCAGAGCAGCCGTATCTGCTTACATCAGCGTTTTATAAGGGCTCCGCTATATCGGATCCAAAAGAGTTGGCTGCCAACCTTACTTCGTATAATATTACAGTTTGTTGTGATAGCATTCATTGAATTGCATTCGACATGCCATTGTATTCATCTAATCAGCGAATCGCCAAGGCTATAGTCTCGCAAAATCGGAGGGCAAGACAGAAGAGCGTGACGAGTCCACCTCCGAAAATCCATCGTAGTCACCATGGTCCCAGAGAGTTTTCTTCAGCACCTAATCTGACATTCATTCAGTGGTAAAGACACAGTTGTCCGCATTAAAAAAGAACAACTCTGAACTATGCACGTGCGCAAGGCATCGAAAACAAAGCGCTAATGACATGGATACCGCAGAAAGCTATTCAATAAAATGCCCTTCATATACAGCGCGGCTCCACATTAGTGACACAAACTAAAAGCATGGCACTGCCAACGTAAAATTAGTTCTCTTTTTTTATTGTTTTTGGTTTGTAGAGAGGAGGAGAGAGCATTCACTCTCGCTCCCTCGGCGGCAAGAACGGTAGCAACGCTGGCTTTTTGGGAGCAAACCAGCCTGCGCGCCTCGCGCCCACCCGCGCTCAATAACAAGCGCTCTCACTCCTGGAAGTCGCTGGGATGCAAGTTTCTGTATCCCAAGAGATGTATGGAAGAAATACAGCACCGTTATTGGCTAAATGTGGTCACGTGATGTAAGCGCACTTCTGTTTTTTCCTGTTTTTTATTTCTTTTCAAGCAAGATAGCAGCAATCGCAGATAGTTGGTTTTTTCGAAGCTAGTTGAAGCAGTACGCCGTAGAAACTTGGGTTTGTCACCGCCATGTGTTACACGTGGCTGTGCAGATTTACGGTGGACGAAGCTGTGCTTAACATTAATCCGAAAGTTGTGCTTAACATTAATCCGAAACTATACTGATAAAGGAATTGGGTCCCAAGTTTAGGAAAACTTTGAGAGGGGCAACGAGCAAAACAATAATTGATGGTGAAGTCCCTGATGGATGGAAACTTAGCAGTATGAGCATGATCTACAAAGGAAAGGGGGACAAAGCTGACATAAACAACTACCGTCTTATAACAGTGACATAAGTGGTGTACAGGCTGGCGATGCAGGTTATAAAGGAAAGACTGCAGGCATGGATAGAGGATGAGGGGGTGCTCGGGGTACTGCAGAATAGGTTTCGGAAACACAGGAGTCTGGAAGACAATCTGTTGTCACTGACGCAGTGCATCGAAACAGCAGAAAAGGAACACAGGATCCTGTGGCTGGCATTTTTGGATATCAAGGGAGCGTATGATAGCGTGGTTCAAGAGGACTTGTGGTAAATACTGGACACACAAGGTGTGTAAGATGGAGTCACTAATCTTTTAAAGGATATCCATAAAAGTAACAAGGTACTTGTAAAGTGGGAAAAACAGGTATCCAAGCCCACAGAGGTGAAACAGGGGCTTAGGCAGGGGTGTCCTCTGTCACCCTTGTTATTCAAGACGTACCTACAAGGATTAGAGGCCAAATTAGAGAGAAGTGGACTTGGCTTCAACCTCTCTTTCGTCAAACAAGGAAAAATCATTCATCAGGCACCACCAGCATTAATGTACGCAGATGATATAATGCTAATGGCCGACAACGAGGATGATTTGCAGAAATGGATGAACATCCGCGGTAATGAGGGAGATAGGTTAGATTTCAGATTCAGTAAGGAAAAATCAGCAGTCATGATTTTTGATGATAATGAAGGTTGTGAGCTTAAGATACAGGAAGTCATGCTAGAGATAACAGATAAATACAAATATCTGGGCGTATGGATAAGCAATGGAACCGAGTACCTAAGGGAACACGGAATATACGTAATTATTAAAGGTAACAGGAATGCAGCAGTGATGAAAAATAGGGCACTGTGGAACTACAATAGGTAAGATATTGTGAGAGAAATTTGGCAAGGGGTCAAGGTTCCAGGTCTGACGTTAGGCAATGCGGTCTTGTGCATGAGATCAGAGGTTCAAGCAAGATTAGAAATTCGGCTACGAGAAATAGGTAGACTTGCTTTAGGAGCCCATACACAAAATCAGGGAGTACAAGGTGATATGGCATGGACATCATTTGAGAACGGGGAAGCCAGTAACGAGATAAAGTTTGAGGAGCGATTAAGAGTCATGGGGCAGGAGTGTTGGGCTATGAAAGTTAATGATGATGATAATATGTGGTGTTTATTGCCGCAAGGGCCATGTGAAGGCCAAAGAGCGCCAGTACATGATACAAAAGATGTAGGCAATGGGTGAGATTACTGGCTGTATAGAGGCATAAAGTTTCTCGCGCTAACGGCGGGTAAAGCATAAAGGTATTAAAATCATGAGAGTGACATGAAATGTGTTCAGTGAAGATGAGCAGCTAACGGTTCTGATAATGATTACACTGATACATAGAGAGATGATATAGCACGATTGTCTCTCAATGCCCTTGTCTCCAAGGGCTGCAAGACAGGTGCCTTGTAATGTATCTTTTGTAGCAGCTACCTCTCTTCAGAGGTCACACTACAGATTACCAGGGTAGATGACATTAAAAATACCAACATCTTTTAAAAATGCAAATAATTACTGATGATTGAAAAGTGAATCCCTACCAATGAACATCGATGAATGAAGTTGTATTTGCTTTCGGTAGGATGATGGGAAGTGTTTTTTCCTAAAAGTGTGCAATTCCTTTCATTGGAATAAAACGTGGAAAATTATGAGTGATTCACCACATTTCTCGCACAAGGGTGGATTACCACCGCACAGAAGATATGAATGTGTACTAAGGGTGTGTCCTAATCTTAGCCTTGTAAGTGTTACGTCTGTGTAGCGTGACTTCGATACTGGCGGCCGATTGCCAAGCTGTGAATTGATACAGTGTAGTTTATTTTACGTGTGGCTATCTCATGTACTTTGCCAATAACCTCTGAGCTGTCGTTTGAGCTCAAGTGCAGGGATGGATATAGATGTATTGGCAGAGTTTATTTGGACATATCCAGCTAACTGATCTGCCATCACATTCCCTAGGATCTCGTGATGCCCTGGCACCCTGAACGACGATGTGTTGTTTGAGGGTGTACA